CCGCAGCCATCCCGGTCACAGCCTGCCTGCCTGGGGCTTTGTTCTCCCTCGTTGGTTTTCCCAATCCCTCCTCTGAAGTTTCCTTAACCAGAGGCGCCGTTTTCCTTCTTGGTTTGCTAAGGCCTGTAAATACCTGTATGTATCTGTGCAAACAAGCACACAGACTGTCAGGTCTGCGACGGCCACAGAGCCTGGGTGAGGAGGCCAGGGCCAGGGGCCTCCTGGGAGAGGAGCCTTGTCATAGCCGGAGTGTGCTCGTGGCAGGGTGGCCGTTTGGACCCAAGTCTTGGTACAGAAACATCTTTTGGAGCCAGTGACCACCCGATCTCTGTGGCGTTGTACCTCATCTGGGCCATGAGATGGACAGGGTCTGTGAAGGCCCCTTTGTAAATGGCTGAGATACATAAAAGGTTAATTATTGCTAACCAGTGCTCCTTCAATCCTCTCAGGGACTGATAACCCCGTGGCCATGTCACTTTGAGGATGGGAACTTGTCAATCAAGAGTTACCACTTAGCCCAGCCGGCGTGGTTCAGTGTTTGAGCGTAGACCAGGAAGTCACTGTTCGATTCCCAGTCAGGGCACATGCCCGGGTTGCAGGCTCGATCCCCTGTGGGCAGCGTGCAGGAGGCAGCTGATCAATGATTCTCTCTCATCATTCATGTTTTTATCTCTCTCTCCCTCTCCCTTCCTCTCTGAAATCAATAAAAATATACATATATTTTTAAAAGTTAACCACTTAGGGGCGCCAGATAGGCAGGCAGGGCCGATATTGACGCTTCCCGAAAGCCCGGTTTCCACACAGAAGCCAGCGATCGGCACTGGAGCTTACTATGCACCAGCCACTGCTCTTAGAGTTTCTGTCTGTAGTTGCTTGTTTATAGTACCTCTGAAAGGTAGCATTATTGCAGCGCCTCTTTTGCAGGTGAAGAAACTGGCACACAACAGGTAAAGAACTTGCCCAAGGTCACAGAATAGCGAGAGCCCGAGCCTGGATGCAAACCCAGGTCTCTTTCGCAGTGTGTGGGTCCCCCTCCCTCACCCTTCCCCTGTTCATCACTGTTACCCAGCACTTACCAGCAGAGCATTGGTTTGCTCATTTATTCATCTCACTCAGTACTTGGCATTTGCTCAAGCGTGAACCCTAGAGAGATTCTTGGCAAATGTCAGTTGATTTAGACTTTGAGTGGCCACCCAAGCTTGACCTTGGCCTGGCCTCTGGTGTGCCCCAAATGTGCCCCCTCAAGGTAGCTTGGGGGTTATCGCTGCTACCTCGTCTTTTTCTGTCCAAGCCTGAACGTCTCTCTCTCTCCCGGATCCCACTGGGCTGTGCGGCTGCCTCTGCCGTGCCCGTTAGTTATCTCCCGGGAGGCTGGCTTCCTGTCTGCCCTCTGATGAACTGGCTTCTCAGAGAAGCAGTAGTAGCTGTGCCGTTCCTTTGGCCCTTGGCACAGTTGGCCTCAGGCTGCCAGCTATGGAACAAGCACCCTCTGGGAGTCGGCAGCCCTGACGTTCAATCCAGCCTCGACATGTAGTTGCTGAGGGACCTGAACTCGTCAGGCTCAGCCCAGCTTGTCTCCTCTGTATGAGCTGATTTAATAGCGGCAGGTGGTAGTGAGGCCTGAGTAGTGGGTAGCGGACCTACACACCGGCTGGCAAGAAGCAACAGATAAAAGGCAGCTATTCTCTTTATTATTAATCCTCACCTGAGGAAATTTTTCCATTGATTTTTAGGTGGGGTGGAAGAGAGAGGGAAAGACAGAGAGATACCGATGTGAGAGAAACACATCGATTGGTTGCCTCCTGCATGAGCCCCTACTGGGAGGAGCCTGCAACCAAGGTACATGCCCTTGACCAGAATCAAACCCGGGACCCTTTGGTTCTCAGGTCAACGCTCTATCCACTGAGCCAAACTGTCTAGAGCTGGCAGCTATTCTTAATATTGCTAATGGCCCTCCCAACTCTAACCTGTGAATTTGCATTCACTTCCTGTGTCCCCTGGAAAACAGAAACCCCCTCCAAGGACTGTGTCTTAGGCCTTCTTATATCCCTGACCCTTCGCTCGCTGCTCTGAATACAGACTCTCAAGAGTGAGCCGCTGGTCCAGCAACCCTGCCAGCATGCCCTGAGGGCCTGTTCTAGGCTAGCTCGGTCCAGGTGACCACCGCTCGCTTTCCTTGCCCAGCTCACAGTTGATAGACAGCCATTAAAGCAAGTGAGAGCCATAATGTGGAGACAGATCTGCAGGGCCACGCAGGCCCCACTGGCCCCAGCCCATCATGCCTCCTCCTGGAGAAGAGACTGGGCAGGAGCTTGCAGTTGGTGAGTGGGAAGGGTGGGCCCTAGAGCAAACCTCCCCCCCTCCCGGTGCAAACGGCCAGGATGAGCCTGTGGCAGAGGCTGGGGCGGTGGTGAGGTGTGTACTCCCTCTGCCCAGTCCAGGAAATGCCCAGTTCCTGGTGGTGCCATCCTCGGTTCCCGTCAGGCTGCAGAGGGTCTGTGCTTCAGGCTGTAATTCAGGTTGATGTGGGAAGGATAATGGAGTGCCTCTCAGGACCGTTTCTGATGCTGGTGCCGGACTGAGACTAGAAGCCTGGCCCAGGCCTGCTGGCTGTGGCCCCACTCCCCACCCTCACCTCAGCCGGGTTCCCGTGCCCTGCCAGCACCAAGACTTAGGGCTTCTCTGGGGGCATCACTGGGTAGAGAGGAGCTTAGCAAAGGCTAGCAGCTCTCTCAAAGCTGGGATTCCCGGAGGGGCCCCTTCCCCTTTTTTTTTACCAAGAGGGTGACTAGCGGCTCAGCCCGGCCTTGGGGAGGATGGGGTCTGGGCTGAGGGCGACCGTTCACCTTGTTAGTAAGGCTGGGCTCTGGGCATCTGGAGCCCTGGGGGTTGTGCCTTAGTGGTGAGAGCAGAGTGTGGAGGAGGGGACAGGAGGATGCTAATGGGAAGCAGGTGGAAGGGGTGCCTGTGTCCCAGCCCGGGGACAGGCCTCTGGGATGGCCCAGTCAGTGGGAGAACCCGTCAGAGCACAGATAATCCCAGGGAACAGGCTCCGAGATGCCCATTCATATTCATTATGTGTGAAGCGGGCGGTTGTAAAGTTCGCTTTCCCTTCATTTGGCTGTCACTGGACAGAAAAATATGAGCTGTGGGCAGACGCCCCTGGCTGGGAGCCAGGAGCTGGTCCCGGCCTCCCTGTGCCCTCCCCCGCCGGCCCCTCCTGGCCTCTGCCCGCCTCCCGCTCCCACTGTGATCTGGGCCGGGCTGTACTTTCTTCTCTCCTCTGGCTCCTTCCCACTCCTGCTTCCTCGGCTTCCCCGGGTCTCTTCCCTCTCCGTCTGTTTCTAAGTTGTGCTTGACCACTGCTCTCTCGCACCCAGCACAATGCCCGGCACAGCGTGGTTTGTAAAACAGAC